AAAAAAAAAAAAAAATTGAAAGGTTGGGCTGAACGTTTCATTTAACTGTGAACACAACCCGTATTTATAGACACCCTCTTGTTCAGGCCAATGTTCAAAGCAGTGTGAGCGAGAGGGATAAAAATAATTAAACACAGATTAGAGAAGTAAACAAACACTTAAATATGAGGGGAGGTGAGACAAGCACGGCAGTGGGGGTGAGATAGGGAATGCCATGGGAGATGCCACACCAGGCAGAGGACAGCCCAAGAACCGCAGGAAGTGGTGCCATTTGCTGGGTAGGTAGAGCTGACAGGTGGACATGAGGAAGGACAGGCATCCTAGGACTGTGGGCTACACTGGAAGTCACTGGTCACTGTGGGAAGAGACAGCCACACCCAGAGGCTATAGAGTTGACCTCAGGGGCCCTTTTGCTGCTCAGAGGGGCCGTGGAGAGGGGAGCTGGGCTGCAGGGCACCTCCCGGCTCACAGTCACCGGCAAGGGGGAGTGGAACTGGGGTGAAGTTGCATGAAAACAAGAAATAATTGAGTTCCATCCACGTTCCTGGGGACTTGAAGTTTTGCAGGGATCAGTCCTGGCCATGTGTTGCTCATGGTCACCCAAAATAAATGAAATACCAATGTTCTGCTTTATTTGGTCATCTCTACAAAGTTGGAGACATTATTCACAAACACTATCAATCTCCCGAATAAGGTACAAAAGGACTCTTCCAAAGTTGAACTCTGGTTTTATCTTTTGTTTTGATTAGAATAATCTGTCCTTCTTTAAAGCAGGAACTCCCAGGCAAGACCCCCTTCAATCAGAGAAGGCTTTGCTACAGCAGAAATACCAGGTATGAACACTCCCTGTTACACGCCATCTCCTCAGCTGCCCCTGCCTTATCACAACATTTACTTCTGTTTAGGTTGAGTTATCCTTCAAATATGTTTGCATTTTGGCAGAGGGAAGAATCTAAAATGACGTATGTAAAACCAGGCTACCTTGGAACTTCTGAGCTGTGGCAGCTGATACCCCACAGGAGGTTAATACACCCCGAGTGGACCCGTGCTCTCCATGGGGCTGAGGTAGGACACTCAAACCTCCACAGACTGTGACGTGCTGTCCCTTAACCAGTGCGGCACATCCTGCCCAAGGTTGTGCACGGTCAATACTCCATGTATCACCAACTCAGCCGCTGCCAGGAGGGTGGGCCTGGAAATCTTCAAACCAAACAGTTCCAGCGTGAGAAGAGCACACTTTGTAGTGAGCAGCGACAAGTGGCCTGGAGTGTGGCCGTTTCCTGTGCTCCTCTCTCTGATCCGGGATTTGCATAGACTGTCCCCTCTGGACGTCTCTGGGCAGTTGCAATAGAGACTTTACTGTTCACTTAAGGAGACACGTGTGCTCAGAGCCACAGAAATTGGGACATGCCAAAGGCTCTACGATCACCATCACCCTCCGTTCTGTGTTTCATGCTGTAGACACAAGGGTCTCCTGCCACTGCCCGGCAAGCGTGAATCAGAACCCTGGGTTTTAAGCGTGGAAGCCCCGGAAGGTTCCTGGCTGAGGCAGGACAATGCCAGTTTTGTTTGCCCACCTGCCTGAGACAGTGTGACCCCAGGTCCACCTGCTTCCTCAGCCTCCATCAGTCCCATGCCCAGCCTGTGCAAGTGCTCCTCACTCCTCAGGGGGCTCCTGGCCCCCAGAGGTGTGCACCTCAGTGCCAGCCGTAATGGCACATCCTGGAAGCGTGTCCACCACCAGCCCCACGTGGTAGGGTAGTTGCAACCCAAGAGTTGCCGACACTCAGCATCTCAGGACCTACATTGGCTCAGCTACGGTCACCATGGAGGGCAAGTGTCCTGTATCCAAAACATCCCGGGTCTGGATGTTTTCAGAGTTTGGAGTATGTGCGTTTATCCTCTCCAGCTGAGCATCCCAAACCTGAAAATCCGAAACCCCAAATCCTCCAGTGAGCGTTTCCTCTGAGTGTCACATCAGTGCTCAGAAGGTCTCAGATTTTGGAGTATTTGGGACTTTATGTTTTCAGGTTTGGGGTGCTAACTATGTACTGTTTCTCACTCCATAAAGCAGACGGGAATGTCGAGGTGTCCCTCCATTTGCCACCTGGAAAGCTGAGTTCCTTTTCAAGACAACCACCTCAGATAAGTTAAATAAGTCCCCTCCAAACAGCCCCAAAGACAAAGGAAACAGCCTTTCCTCAAGGGCAGGCTTTGATTTGAGTCCTTGGGACTCCAGAAGGGCCGAGTGACCTTCACTGGCTTGCAGCCCCCTCGGTAGTTTTGGTGTAAAACCAGGGAGCTGCACTGGGTGGCCGAGACTCCCTCTGGTTCCAGCAAGTGCAAGTCCAGGGCTGCACCGTCAGCCGTGGCCCCAGGGAGCAGGACTCTCTGGGTCACTGGCAGGCTGAGGCACCAGCAGGTCTCCTGACTGTGTCCAGCCAACTTTCCATCATGGGCCGGCACCCTGGCCACTCCCGGAATGTTCCTGACACGTTTAGGAATCATGACACCAACCTGATATGTGAGCCTGTCCTCAAGTGCAAAGGACGAGTGTCCGTGATACACTTCGCCCTAATCCCTTCCTGCGAAGACCATTTGGAACCCATCCTTCATGTCACCAAGAACACTTTTAATTTGTGAAAATGTTTCAAGTACGAAGCACTTATTTTCCTTTAATGAGGAAAGTGTTGCTTGCACTGCAAAGTCAGCACATAGACTAAATTACTGCTTTTCTCAAGGGGTGCAGAAGGACTTGCTGCGTGGAGTTGGCCTGAGCCCAAGTGGCTGAGACCCTGGCTCCTGTTACAGACCTGATCGCAGCCCCTTTGGTTCTCTTTGTCTCACGTTTTCTTTGACTTCTGCTTTCCTTCCACTTAGGAAGATAAAACCATGACCGGAGGAGCAGAAAAGTCAGCTATTTCCAGATACCCAGAGGACCCCTGCCCTCCTCAGCACCTGCCAGGGCTCCCCCAGTGACCCACCCTCTCTCGAGAGCTCCACTGCCACAGCACAGGCCCTGTCACCCAGAGAGTCTGTAGGTCTAACTCACCAAAAGCACCCAGAAGAAAACAACCATGAGAAAACTGCCATTTTCAGGCAAACTTGGGAGATTTGAGGTGAAGTGTTGTTTTCTTTCCCAGACCTAAGTTAACATACTCTAATTCATTTCTTTCTTTCTTTTTTCTTTTCTTTTCTTTTTTTTTTTTTTTTTTTTTTGGCCTAAGATGGTATCCAGTTTTCTATTTCCTGCCTTTTCAAATGTGTCTTCTTGTCAAAAGTCTTTTTGTTTCTGAGACTCTCATGAAAATCATAGCCATCAGTTAGGTGGCTCTGGGACCTCGCAGGCAAAACTGGGAAAGTCAGGGGCGAGACCCGAGGGCTCCAACAGGTGTTGGAATTGAGCAGCTCTGGAGATGAGGAGGATGGGAATAAAGGAGATAGTAGTTGAGCGTAAAATCATCGGGAGCTGCAGACCCAGCCGGTCACCCTTTCTCCCCAAGGTAGGCGGTGCCGACCGCGGTGCCCTGGCTCAGTCCTCTGCACTTGAACAAGGCCTGGTAAGTGCAAGCGCGGCCAGCCCCACAGGGCTTGTTATTCCTTCCCCCAAAGCCACAAATCAGAAAAAGGGAAAAAAGGAAAAGACACTTACCCAGACAGCAAGGGAAGTGGCACGGAGGAGAGAGAGCAGCTCTGGCCACCAGCTCGCTGAGCCACCCAAGCCACCCAAGCTCAGGCCTCCCCCCTTTTATGGCTGAGCAGGTGCTATAAATAAACACACAGCCCTGCCTCTCCCAAACCGATACCTGCACCAGAAATTACCAGCCTGGTCTCAGGAGGAAAAAGTGTCTTATTCAAATTTGGGGAAACATCACAATTAAAAAGCAGAAAATGTCTGTTCTGAATCCCAAAGTGAACTTTCCTTTTCCCATCAAAACTGGGTGTGACAATTTGGCCACTGGCCAAGAAAAAGAGGGCAGGGCACGGACATTCCACCCCTCGCCAGGCCTCCTCCTCCTGTTCTAATTTTCAGATATAAATTTTCAGCCCTATCAGCTGCAGATTCCCAGGGACATAAACTGACCCTCCAGACCTATCTTTAGTGACCATGAGGACCTTGGCAGCAGGCATCTGTGCCACTCGTTCAGGGCCCCGAATTTGAGCAGGAGCACCAGCAGCCACAGAGAAGGGGAGTGGGCAGCTCCGGTGGTTGGCTGAGAGCTGCACACATGCATTTTGTTTTGTTTCTAACTTCAAAACCTATTCACACTGCCCTCTATCTCAGGGTTAGCTTAGTGAGCACTGCCTCCCCAGGAGAGGCTGCACCTCGTCGGCAAGTTGGGGTTTATTTATAGTCACTGCACAGGAGTTCGCCGCAGCTAGACACACAGATAGATGCACCGTCCATCTAATATAAATAACACACACCTGGCACTGTCCTGGCTGCGGCCGAGCATGTGCTGCCAAGAGCAGGGGCCTCACGGGGACGTTGTCAGCCTGA